AGAAAGTTTTCTGTAAATAGTTATTTCACTGCTCCTTTGACTTTTACCCTCAAATTTACACAAATCCAAATTTAGTAAACTTATGGTGTTAGTTTAAATTGTTTAAAACCGTAGAAAATGTTACACGTTTCAAAATTCCATACATATGTTACACACGCTCTTTCGTAGTTTTAATATAGTCTTAAATGTACCAATTTTCATTAAATGTAAGGAATGCAAGTATTTAAGGATGAAGTGTTTACTACAAAATTTCAAAAACTTCTTATTTTAAGATCTTAAGTTACTGCGCGTAATTAAGAGTGAGAGGGAAAATATGGTAATGAAGTTTTATATAAAAAAAAGTTATAATTTATAAGTTTTTAGTAAATATTCAGAAACAATGTTAAATAGATTCGAAGTCTATTTTACAATGTATTTAATCTATGCACTTTTAAGAAAATAGATTAGGTTAATATGCAGCAGTTATTTTTAATATAAAATATTCAAAAATAAAAAAAGAATGTTTTTAAAAAATTAATTTATATTAAACTTGTATGTTACTCACAGAAGAATCTTGCTCATATTTGCTATGTAGAACAACTTTTCGAGTTTTCTTTTTCTATACTTGTGTAAATATTATTTTTAGTATGTGGTATTTCACTGATAAAATAAAGATATGTGCAGAGGGGTATCAAAATAATAGTAACGCCTGTCATTAAAAATGACATTTTTGAATGAGTTTCGCAAGCTTTAAAATATAACAGTGCTATATATATCATTTTTTTATAATTGGAAATATATATATATATATTCTGGTAGTATGTGGTAGCTTTATTGAAGTTCTGTAAGTCTTGGTCTTTTTTCAAAACTGTTATTAGATGACTAAGCCATTAATTTTGAAAAAAAAGCCCTAAAAAATTGTAATAGACGATTTTCTATTGAAACTGCAGAACTAGCAGACATGCTAGACATTTCAGAAAATACTGGAAATGTGAACATGAGAAAGCTGTGCACGGTTGCCATGATTGCTCGCAATGGAGCAAAAAAAGTGTTGTTAGAATATTTTAACCTACTGTTTGTCTAAGTTTCACAACAACAAGGCAGGCTTTTCCGTCTATTTATAGCCATGAATAAAACATGTGTCCAACATTTCACACCACCTGAAATGTCTGTAGTTGTAGTAACTGTCAGAATTGCGGACTGAAAGGGGGAAATCGACTCCAAAGAAGGTGACGACTTCTCTATCTCTAGGCAAGGCTATGACTCCAATTTCCATTAATTATCTTAAAAAGGAGAAAATAATCTACCGAAAATAATCAACCGTGAGTATTATTGTGAATTTAATGCAGCAATTGTGTGATGAAATCAAGAAATAATGGTTGCACTTGGCGAAAAATAATCCTTCTAATCTTCAAACATGTATAACGCCAAGTTTCTGTTTCAGCACTATCAGATATCAGTGGCAAGAAAGTGCAAAATTAGTGTCACTAAATTTCTAGACTGGATAACATTTTCAGTAATGTCTAGCATTAAAATTTTTCTTTATTATATGAAATATATGAACTGTGTAGAGAAAATTTGACTTGCTTTATTTTAACTAATGCATATAGTCAAACAACTTTATTGAACTAATAGTATTGTTACACAAAATGGTCTGTTCAAGATGAAGAACAACAAGCAGATGTTCCTTAGCATAGGATATGCCTCCCTTTGCTGCAATGGTTGCTTCGCACCGTCTCTGAATGCTTAGCACCAAATTGTGCAACATTTCTTGAGGTAAGAGTACCCATTCTTCAACCAGCATCTGTTTCAGTTATTGGGTGTTCCTGGTAGTATGTAATCAGGCCATAAATCGTCTCCCCAAAGCATCCTACAAATTTCTATGGGATTTAAATCGGGAGAGAACGCTGGTCAATCCATTCCATCCATGATATCTTCACTTTCCAGTAGCTGCTGGATGTCAGCAGTCGGGCGTTACCATGCATTATCATCCATAAAAATGAATGATGATCCAATAGCACTTCGGAACAGACGCACAGGAGGAAGGATCACCTCCTTACTATAACGATCTCCGACTGCAGAACTTCTGTCAAAAACGTGGAGCTCAGTCCAACCGTTCATTATAATGCTTCCCCAGACGACAACTCCAGGACCACCGTAACAGTCTCTTTCCGTGATGTTACTGGGATTAATACCGTGTCCCGACCTCTCTACAAATTGCTTGGGGTACTGAAATAACTCTCATTTGTAAATAGGACACGACTCCACTGTGAAGAGGCCCAGATTTGTGCTCCTCACCCCACCCTTAACGGTGTCACAGATGGTCGACTTTCAAAGGGAGGCAGCATTCAGGATAGAGGGCGAATAGCCATTTTTGTGAAGGGAGTCGGTCACACACAGTAAACCGCGACACTTGTCGCCCTGTTGCTGTGCATAGTTGTTGAGCAACGGAGCATCCTGACAAGTATCAAGCTCTCTTCGCCTGCTTGACGATATAATAAGTCATCCACTGCAATTGTTTTCCTAGGACGGCCACCCCTAATCTTTCTAACTGATGTACCTATAGTTTGAAGGGCTTTCCAAGCGCGAGAAATTACACTTTTCCTGATTCCGAACCCTTTCGCTACACTGGTCAAACTACGGCCCTCCTCCGACTCTTTTAGGTCATTCTTCCTCTTGTGAAGTCATCTAGGGAATTCTTTCCAGCCCTATTTCACAAATAATTCCAGTTGTACTTGCAGCTAATGTCTTTAATTGCGCCTTTGTTCTTAAATGCATTGTAAACTTGAGCGGTGCACGCCGACCACACGCATTTTGCATACATTCATCTCAACTAAGATGTATTGTTTCTGACAGTTACAGATGCATAGCTATTCTACTGAACTATGTTGCACTGATGGCAATAACCCCTTTTATAAAATTTCATAGATATACTTCGATGATGTCAAATCAAACTTCTACCATATGAAAGTACAGTGAAAATGTATGGAAAAAACCATGGAACCGCTACCTGCCATTCAATGTCCGATAAATCAACCATTAATGAAGCGGAGGCTTGATTGTCTCGACTGGCATGACCGTTCGATAGATGCACACGCCTCTATGTGTTTGCAAGAGGCACTGTTACTGCTTGTGAGGTATAGTGATGAGGTCTTGGAGCCCTATGTTTGCCTTTTCACGGGATCAGTTGGCCCTGATTTCATTTTAATGGATGATAACATGGGCATATAGAGCATAACATGGGCATATCTGGTCGATGAATTTTAGGAAAGTAAGGACATTTGCCGAATGGACTAACCAGTCAGATATACAGACCTTATCCCTTTAGAGAAGTGATACTCAAAGTGCGACCCGCGGGCCACATGTGGCCCGCCAGCCTTTTATGAATGGCCTGTTCATGGTCGATTGCATTAAGAAATTCAGTTACTGGAGAACAATGTACTAAAAATTTAGCGGGAAATTTTATCAATCAAGCAACCAAATATGTCAATTTTTCTATCAATTTTTTTTTAATTGCAGAATGTAAGCAAAAGACTTGGTCATGAATGAAAGGAAATAAAAATTATTCCATAACTCAGTAAAAAATGCCAAAAAATAAATATTTGTATGAGTGTGTTTGATCCCGAAAAGTTAATATACTTGTTAAAAAAAGTCAAAAAAGGGTTAAAATGTTTTGATCAATTTTGCTTTTTCCAATGTTGGCTATAGTGTTTTTTCCATTACCGCGTGTTGTGGCCCGAGTGAAATACCTGTCCTGTGTATGCGGCCCGGCGAGGAAAAAGGTTGAGTACCCCTGCTATAGAGCATTCCTGGGAAATTTCTGGAGTGGATCATTGCATTTCGCAAACCCGCTTCGAGAACCATTCCAAAATCTGAAAACAGAGTTGCTGAACAACAAACCAATTGCCACAAAACTCATATAAATTCCATCATATCCGATATAAAATCTCGGTGTGAAGCTGTTTATCTGAAAGAGGAACTACACCCCTTATTAACCAATTTTTTTTTGTTATATCCTACAGAATTGCTGTTTCATACCTGCTTACTTCGATGAGTATTATGTTCGATCACGCGTGCGTATTTCAACAGTTGAAAAATTATTTTTTTGCATTGTATCAGCTCTATATACATACCAAATTCTCTTAAAATCTATCCACTATAAATCAAAAGACAATCGACAAAATCTAAAGGTTTTTTTTTAATTTTGAGCACACACACTCCAGTGTAAAAAGAGAGAGAGAGAGAGCATTTATTTGTTTCATCTCTCTCAATGATCTGACATATTTTCATTTAACAAGTAATATAAAAAATAAAAATTTAAGTCAACTCCTTCTTAGGTCAACGAAGAAAATTTTACTTTAGTTACTTTTTATTAAATAGTACAATTAATTATAAGACCTGTTCTCACTATGGATGTGAAACCTGGACTCTAACAAAGACTCAGACAAATCAACTGTTATTTGAAAGGAAATCCTGAGAAGATCTTTGGCTGTGAATGATAACGAATTTGGAACACAGTACAACTTTGAATCAACGACTCTTTAAGGAACTAACATCGTCAACTACATCAAAATATGCGCTTCAGATTCGCGGCATGTCTGTCGAATGGATCCTCATCCATGACATCAAGAATCTTAATTATAAACCATCTCGAACAACCAGAGGAGACCAAGCTGAGATAGACTGATTGTGTGGAAGAAGATTTTAAAGTGCTGAAAGTACCAATTGGAGAACTGTCGCCTTCGGGACAAGATGGAGATTTCTAAGAAAGCCTTGGCCACCCGGGCTGTCGTGCTAAAGAAGAAGAAGAATTACAATTAATATAATATAATATACATGTGACAAAATTACAATATTAAGTGACGAAAATAGAAAGCGATTTTCCTTGCACAATTTTCCATTTTCCTTTCTATATATAGTGTTGAACTATTTTTTGGTTTTTCTATTTATTCATAAATTAACTTTAATTATTCTAAAAAATAGTATAGTAAAAAAAGAAATCCCGTTCTCAGAAATTAGGCCATCCCAGGTAAGATTCGAACCCACGACCTTTGTATTAGAAGTTCAACGCGTTATCCTATGTGCTACAGGGATACAGTGAGCAATTTTTCTTTGTATAAATGCTGTTGGACTATTATTTTTGTTTGTTACTATTTATTCATTTTTAATGTAATTAATGAACTAATAATATAAAAAAACTATATTAACATCAAGTGCCATCCACTACAAGTTTAAAAAAATGTATTTGAACTTGAATGGATGGATAGGAAGAATTTTATTAACGACTGGGAATTTGAAAAGATATATAAATATATATAATGAGAGAGTGAACTAAAATTGCTGTGGAATTGAAAAATGAAAGATTTTGTTAAGTTTTATATTATGCATTTCTTAAGCCATTTTAAAATATTTATATACAGTTGTTTCGTCATGTTTATAAAATGATACTTGCGCAAATGAAGAGAAGAAAGAGAGCAATGGCACGAGTAGTCTGTTTATTAAAAAATATGAAATTTTGCTAAATGAACTTCTGAAAATCAATCTTATAAGAAGGACATAATTCAATACAAGAAAAACTGAATAAACCATTCACAATAAATGAAGTTTGAGATGCAAAAACGAAACACAATGATGAAATCAGAATAGCTTCCTAAACCAGGGATTGTAAAAAAGAAATCGAACTCTAAATAAATCTTCAGAAGCTATGTAGTGATCAAGTACCTATAAAAACTCAATATCAAATACTCCGGACAATAAAAATGCATTTTTTTATTTCTTCAAAATTTCATTACTCAGCGAGCTTTCTAAAGTTAGGTTTATAACCCATTTAAATGTATTTTTATGACAAAACATACACTAACCGCCTTCAGCTCTCTCTAATAAAAGTTGAACCTTAAAAGATGAATGGTAGTCTCTGCGCCAATTTTAGAATGAATTGTTTTTTAAATAAAAATTATTACTTTTCACTAGGTGCCGAGGAATTTGGTCCTGTCATAAGGTAACCCGAAAATAATTAAAAGTAAAAATTTATGTTCTTTTTAATGTACTATGTCATAGGATAATAATTGGAAAGGGTTCAACGACCCTTAGAAAAAGGGTTCAATGACATTGTTACATTTTAATTTAAGAAATACAGATTAAATTATAAAGATAAAAAGAGTGTAAAGGGTTATTTTAATAATCATTTGATTCTATAAGTAAGGGAAGAACATATTTCATACTTCATTACGCTTCTGTTTTTATACTTTTCCCATTGTAAATTCTGACTACTTTCTTGCTTTCATATCATTGTTTAAGCTGATGAATAATTAAAGTTTTAATTAAAATAGAAAAAGTTTTACATTAATATGAATTAGTATTCTGAAGTATTTTGTTAAGAACGATACTTTATTTTCTTAACTTAGTTAAGTTTGAATAGCCTCGGGTAAAAATGTTTTTCTTATTTTTAACTGGCACTTATTTACAGATGAGAAATTATGATTTCCGAAAAACTCTTAAGATGAGAATAACATTTATCATGTAATGATGATTAAAACACTTGACAAGCAACCACATGAAAGATTTTTTTAATGTTATATTATTAAAGAATTGTATGTGTTATTAATACTAATGAATAAATCATTATTAATATCTTCATATTAATTATTTATTAAATTTGAAACGAGAAAGATGTAAACTATTTCTGGATAATACAACATTTCGTATTTCTCATTGAGTTTATTTCGTAGTTCGTGTTTTGCACACTGATATTACTTACCAAAATTGTCAAGTCCTTTCACACATGTATATTTGTCTTCTTACCTCTTTTATAACGGCCAATTGACATGTCAATTCTTTTTTAAATGGTAAACTTTTCTGTTTTTTAACCCTAACCAATAGTTGTCATTTCACATGATAAATAATCGGAATAGTTGGAAAAAATAGTGTTTTTAAGTTATAACCATCAACTTAGTGCTATAAAATAATTCAATTCCCTTTAATAATGATATTTATTTTAGTGTGTGTTAAAGTACTTTTTACGTTTATTTAATTAATAAATTAAAACCTAGTAATAACTTAATTTCATGCAGTATTATTTGAACTTTAAACACAAAGATTTTCGAAATTATTTTTTGCACAAAAAGTTTAACTATCTGTTACCTTTTCAAAATAAAAAGTGTTGGCCTTTTTTGAAGAAATATCATTTAGGTTTTCAGTTTGGTAAACATACATTAAACATATATTTCTACTAACGTGTTTAAAATTTCTAAATCTTCAAAATATAAAAGAAAGTGTACATTTTTTATCCCAAAATATTAAAAATTTTGTGAATATATTGTTCATAAAATCTCTAAATAATTAAAATTCAAAGAGACTCTAGATTGTTTCATTTCAACTGACTTATGTGATTTAAAAATAAATTGTTAGCTGCCTTACGAAATAAAATGTTTGGCTCTAAAAATTAGCTTGTTTTAGATGGATAAATTAAAGCTCTTCATAAAAAAAGATAACACTATATTTTACGTTGAGAGCCAAATATAGAAACATATTAAACAAAGAAAGCAAAATTTTTCCATTCCAATTAGAGGTAAATTCAGTTAATAATTGCAGTTAATAGAAAGATATGCTTGAATATAAAAATATTTTAAGGAGTTATCATATGTAATGCCTGGTATATATGGAAATTATTTTTATCATATAATGGTTTTTAAGGGTGATATTTTTTATCATATATCACCCTTAAATACGGGATTGAAATTCTTAAATTATAAACAATTACCCCCTGAAATTCCTTAAAACTAAACATGATAATTTCAGTAGCTTACGTTTCTTCATCTAAAAATATAAATCAATTCAAGAATGTGGTGTGAAATAATGAAATAAAACTCGTTTCTTAACTTGGCTCAAAATTATGAGAATAATTAATAACTTTCAAAATAACTCTTGTGCGTGCATGTGTAATTTTTACTGAGTAAAAAATTAAGAGGAAACATATGCTAATTTTATTTAATTAAATATGATTATATATATATTGAGACGGAGAAATTCGACCCTTCTCTGCAGGTTATGAAATAAACTTATATCTGAGTTAAATGAAGTCTATAATTCTAATTCATATGTAACGTATTCAATTGTAAAAATTCCTATTACTGAAATTAATATGAATAGTTGCGCTAACTGTCCTGTAAATAAATATTAGTATAAATGCTACTGTGTAATATTTTTGGATCAACAGAGGTAATCTTTGTTTTTTGTTCTTCATTGATTTTTGAACTGTGTTCGAAAAAACTGTAATAAACAGCAAATAGGATTTTTTAAACACATTCTTAAAAATTAATTCTTATATAAATAAATAACGTTCCACTGTGATAAATATTTGGTGTGCTTTTTTTAATGCATTTACCTGTAGATAGAAGAATGCTTCTAATTTTTTTATTTCGCAACATACTGATAATATTTTGTTCACTTCTTTAGAGAGATGTAGCGCATTTCAATATTATCATAATATTCTAAGATAATAAAACCTTTATAATAATGCAAAATTTTTCGTTCATATCTTTGGTTGTGAACGAAGTAATAATAACAATAACAATAATTTCATTACCGTGTGTTCTTCCTTTTATTTCCATTAATGTCTTGTTGTTCATTCCTGACTTTTTGAAAGGGTTCTCAGTGCAATTGCATTACTTAAGAATATGTGAGTTTATTGATATATCAGCAGAATTCATTCATCATATTGAGCATTTTGTTTATGAGAGCTTCAGAAGTTTCTTCAAAGCGCATGGAATCATTCATCATATGTAGACATACTTTTCCAACAGCCTTTCATTATTGAGTCTTTTATTTCAGTCTTCCGTAGAGGAAGACTCTAATGAGTAATGATCCATAGGATAAGGAACGTAGTTCTGTAAAAGTTTCTGTATTTTTGTGATCCATTAGATAAAAATCTTATTTTTAAATATAGTACTGTAATATATGTAGTAATTAGCGAATTGTACGTAAAGAAACGATCACACATATTTGTCTGTGAAAATTATATAAGCAAAATACAATAACTATATATAAAAGATAACACAAAATGTGTGCTTATACAAAAATGTTTTGATTAAAAATTCATGATTTTATTAAACTTGTTATTAAATTTTTTTAACAAAAATCCCCCCCCTCCCTCCAAATAAAATGTTTTCCATTAACTATAAGAAATAATAACTCCAAACAAACAATTATCCGTTCTTTCTTTTGCTAAGTTATTTTGTTTCTATTTCCATGACAAATTTTGAAAAATTAATTTCACTTAAGCCTTTTCAAAATTATGTACCTTTTTTCTAAGTTGAAAAAAGTTCGTCTAGAAAAAATTACAATATAAAAAATAGGCGTACTTTGAAAAAAAAATAGTTCTCTAAATTATTTTTTATGACTGATGAATTAAAAGCAGCTGTTAATAGCAATAATTCTGATTATGTTAAATTTTTTCAAAAAATACACGTGTACTATCTTTAATATTAAATACTTTCATGGATTATCTATTTTAACCCATATAAATAATTCAATAATAATTTAATTTCATCAAAATACATTTTGATGATTAGATTTGTTTTAATGGATACATTTTGTCGATAACTTCATTAATCTCCAATTAAACTATCCAGCTTTTGCTCTAGTTTCAGAAATAAATTCAATAAGAAAAATAAACAGTATAAAAGAAACAAACACATTCATTATTCCAAAATAACTTTTCCACTAATTTCCTAATCTCTTCAATTAATTATTCTATTAAAAGAAAAAAATATGCTTCTAGATCTATTTAAAATAACCTTTAATGAATGAATTAATTACAAGTAACTGATAGTCAATTAGTATTTAAACTTGAAATAAATAGTAATACCTTGAAATAAAAAAACATTTAAAGCTTTTCATTCATTATTTCCAAAAAAAATGTGTAAATAAGAACTTGAAAAACTCGACCTTTTAAAAAAGGAGCGTAACTAAATTTTCTTTTTTAAGTGAGAGAGAGGATAATTAAGTGACAAATCATTTTTGAGCTTCTTTTAAAGATAGATTTCTTTCAATTTTCCAACACTCTAAGCGAAATTGTGATAATAAAACAATTATCT